TGATAAAAAAGTGGAGCTAGTGGTGAAAGTTGATTATTTGTACTAACCAAACTATATATATACGAGGAATTTGTTGGAAAACCACTGAGGTAGGGCCTTATTTGAACGGCTACAGCCCTCCCAGATTCCATTTTGGAATTCTGGGAGCAAAGATTTTAGGACTTCCCTTCTGCTGTCTTTCCCCAACCTCCACTTCAGGAGAGGCCCCAACAGCTTTCACTTTTTTGTAACCTTTGAGTTACTTCGACAAAAGTGCGAACTCCTAAAGAATGTGGAAGTTCTCTTTCACGAGGGGCGTTTTAGGACTGCCTGTTGAGAACTTTCAGCCCAAGGGAGCCTCGGGTTAATTCAGCCCCTCAAACTGGAAGCGGAAGAGTTAAAACAGCAGGATGGCGGTCAAGAGTGTGACTGTGGGCGATCGGACGTCGCCGTTTGCCCCTGGAGATACCGCCGATAATTCAGGAAACCTGCCCCTTCTCCCACCCCCACCTCGGATCACAGGAGTCCATTCGAGAGCCTGACTCCCCACCCCCAAATGCCCAAAAACGAGATGGAAAACTCCCACCGACCAGGAAGAGCGCGCGGGGCAAACTTTACGAGTTCCTGGCGGGAATTGGCCTAAACGTGACTCTTTCTGAAGGCTGGAGCGGGGCAGGGGAAGGAATTTTCATGTTTTTTTTTAAATAGTTCTCTCTTGGAAAGGTGCGCTGCGGTTCCAGTGGGCAGCAAAGCGGCCTCCGCGCCGCGCCCGAGGAAGCATTTTTAAAGAAATGCAGACCACCGCCCGCCCCTCTCCCCGCGGACGGGATCGGAAAGCAGCCAGACAAGACCAGCGAGCCCAAAGAAGCGCCTCTTTTGTTTTCAAGTTCGGCATCCCTCAGCCGGGGGCTGCAGCGACTTCGCTACAGAAAAACCGCGGGGGCGGCGGCGGGCGCGTGGGCGGGCGGACGCGGAGATGAAATGCTCCTCGCTCAGCCCCCCCGCGGGTCCCGAGCCGCGCCCCGGAAGGCTAGCGGATTGCAAAGGGAGTCTCTCCGACTCGCCAGGCCCGGCCACCGCAGCGCGATCCTGCAGCGCTGGACTCGGAAGAGCCCTCCTTTGATGTCGGCAGGACTCGCTTCCCAGCGACAGGAACACCAGCGGGCTGCGGCAGCCTCCCCCTCCCGCCCCCGCGTTTCCCCCTCCCGGGAAGCTCTTTGCTGAGCAACAGGATTCTGGGGGGCGGAGGGGAGGGCGCGAGAGGCGGAGGAAGGAGGGTCACGTGAGCGTCAGCCCATCACACCCCTCCCCCGCCTCCTCCAGAGCCAGGTGCCAGGAGGCAGCAGCAACCCGAGAGTCCACATTGAGGACTCTATTCCCGGGCATGAAAGCGGTGAGACGAAGGGGGGGATGGTGGTTAGAACGCTACTTCTAGTCTTCGACTCCTGATTGGCCACGTCCCCTGGAATCAGGCGACATTCTTCCGGGAAAAGCAAGAACAAAACATCACCCCCTTTCTTCGCGGGAGGGGAAGGTCGTTCCTCCCTCAACGCGCCTTGTCTTAAAGTGGGCCCTTCGGAGTGCCGCGCTCCCCCTTTCCTATTCAGGCTTGGTATCTCCCGATGTAGGACACCTTCCCCTCCTCCTCGTCCGGTTCTTCCAAGCCCGCCAGAGCGCTTAAGCGGGTAACCAGATATTCAAAAACAATACGTCAGCCCACAATGCCCTGCACGGAGCCCAGGCATTACCTCATCCCACAATGCCTTGCGAAAAGGGGCTGAGAAACTTCTTGGGGTGGGGTGGCCATGGAGATGGGTGCCTTTGCAACAGGCTGGCCCAACCCCCCTCCTCCCCCTGAGAGGCGGCGGCAGCCAATGGGAAGGCCCCGGGGTGACATCATGGGCTATTTTTAGTGGGTTACTGCTCGCTGATAAGTGTTGGGCTCCACGCTGGGAAAGAGCTCAGAGTGGGATTGAGTGGCGGCAGGAGAAGCGGCGGTGGCAGCGCTCCCGTCCGGCAGGACAAGAACCCCCGGCGGCCACAGCAGGGCCGGTTTCAGCTCCAGACGCAAGCAGGGCCTGGGCGGCTGTTGCTGAGGTCCTGACGCTCAGAGGAAGAACCGGCGCTCCCTCGGTACAAAGTCAGGTCGGGGTTGCTCCGGTCCCGCTGCCGGAGCGCGGAGGCTGAACTTGCCCGGGCATCGCCTCCTTTGGAGCGCCGAGCGCCTGCCTCTGGACCGCTTCGGCGTTTCTCTTCGGGATCCTGAAGTTGCCGAGCGTGGGAATCTCCTCCTCCTCCACCCCACCCCCAGCCCCGCTGCGAGCGAAAAGCGGGGTGGTCTACTTCTGGCAACTTTTTCTCTCTGCTTGTCCGGCTGGGACTGAGGCGACCCGCTTTTGACAGCCACTGCGGAAAGGAGAGGACTCAGAAGTGGGTTTGAAACTCGGAAACGCTCCAGACCGACCCAGGACACTCCCACGAGGAGCGCGAAGGGGCGGAGGAGAGAAAAAGGACTCAGAAAGTTTCTGGACTCCATCCTTGCTCGGAGCGATAAAGAGGCCCCCGAAGGTGTCAGCAGCATTACCTGGTGGATTCCTTGGGCTGAGAAAGGGATTCTGCATTTGAAAAATAACTTTTATCTGGGTCTTCCCCCATCCCCTCCCAAGACTCACAGTGGGAACTGATGCGCACGCTGGGTCTTTGAGGTGAAACCCAATCTGTTGAATCTGAGTTTTTTTTCTAGCCAAGCTGGGGGAGAAAACGGGGGACCCAAGCCAATGCCTTGTTGCAAAAAAGTAAGACTTTAATTGATCACTTTTGAACTGTGTCTTCATTGTTGAAAGAGTATTCGTGTTATAAGAACTGTTCCTATTTAATAACTGTTGCAGCTGTGAACTTCTTTAAGACATAACAAACCAGCTTCCTTTCCTAGGTCTGTTTTTGGGCTAGAGGTGAACCAACTTGTGGACTGTATTCTATGACTGCAAAGATGGAACCTACATTCTACGATGATGCCATAAATGCTACCTTTGTGCAGCCAGAAAGTGGTACTTATGGATATAATAATCCCAAGGTTCTGAAGCAGAACATGACGCTCAATCTGGCTGACCCTTCCAGTAACCTCAAGCCCCACTTGAGGAACAAGAATGCTGATATCCTGACCTCCCCAGATGTAGGCCTCCTCAAGCTGGCTTCTCCTGAACTAGAAAGGCTGATTATTCAGTCAGGCAATGGACTGATCACCACCACTCCAACCCCAACCCAGTTCCTCTGTCCCAAAAATGTCACTGATGAGCAAGAAGGCTTTGCTGAAGGCTTTGTCAGGGCACTAGCAGAGCTACACAATCAGAACACCATGCCGAGTGTTACCTCTGCTGCTCAACCTACGAACTCGGGCATGGCCCCTGTATCTTCCATGGCTGGAAACAGTGGCTTCAGTGCCAGCTTGCACAGCGAGCCACCCGTCTATGCTAACCTCAGTAATTTCAATCCTAGCGCACTCAATACGGTGCCTTCCTACAATGCAAACAACCTGGGCTTTCCTCCACAACATCATCTGAACCCCCAGATGCCAGTGCAGCATCCGCGCCTCCAAGCTCTGAAAGAAGAGCCTCAGACTGTCCCTGAAATGCCTGGAGAGACTCCTCCCCTGTCCCCTATTGACATGGAATCGCAGGAAAGGATCAAGGCAGAGAGGAAGCGCATGAGAAACCGAATTGCAGCCTCCAAGTGCCGGAAAAGGAAGTTGGAGCGGATTGCCAGGTTGGAAGAAAAAGTAAAAACTTTGAAAGCCCAGAACTCAGAACTAGCGTCTACTGCCAACATGCTGCGAGAGCAGGTTGCCCAGCTGAAGCAGAAGGTCATGAATCACGTCAATAGTGGATGCCAGCTAATGCTCACACAGCAGTTGCAAACTTTTTGAAAAGACTGAAAAGTAACTTTAATGATGGGGAGAAATTGAGGAGAGGAAAGAGTTTGGGAGGCAGAACGCTCACTTGTGGTGGGTGGAAAGAAAAGGCTGAAAGGCATTGATTCCGAAGACTGCCTCCCCCGAGTCAAATGCATGCGTGGAGAGACTGGTGTGCCTTCTGGTTGAGGTGGTGGCATATCAGTTGACAGAACAGCTCAGCAAAAGAGCTGAGCTGTTCCAGGTCAGATAAGGCATGGAGGCCTTGTGTTTTTCTTTCTTTTTCTCTCTCTTTTTTTTAACATTGACCAAGACTTGCATGGACCTAACATTAAATGATCATTCAGTATTAAAGGTTAAACTGCAGTAGATACTGTAGATGGCTTTCTCTTAGTACTCCTTTTTTAAAAAAAACAAAAAAACAAAAGCAAATAGGGAGGGAGTTTTTGGGAGGCTAACAACAGAAACTGAGCTATACTGCCTGTCTGAGTTGTGTATGTACATATATATTTTTTATTTTATGACAACTGATTAATGTCAAGTAAAACTACTTCATGACTTTGTAAGTTATTTTTTATGTTCATTTGGGTTCCACCCAGTATTGTTTGTAAATAAGAGATTTTTTAGCAACTTTTGAGTTTTTTCCATTTGTAATAAAGTATATAATTTTTTTAATGTTTATTTCTGAAACAGAAGAAAGGGTTGATCTTATTTAAGAAAGCACCAGTAATACTTTACCCACTTTCTTTGATTAGTATCATAGATTTCAGTTCTGCACACATTTACCTAGGAGCAAGTCTTATTAAATTCAGTGGGGCTTACTGCTAAGTAGACATGCATAAAAGGATACTTGTAAGTCAGGCATATACAGGATCAACTTTTGGTTGAATGTTAAAACTCTGCTGAAGAGAGGAGTGAGAAACAAACTCTTCTTTGATTTTCACATACTGTAACAACCATTTTAAAAGTCTTGTGGTACTCCTGTTATAATAAAGCTATTGGTCTTTGGGGTGCCATAAGACTCCTTGTGTTCTAATTCCCAGGTGGGCATATTTTTTTCTAAGGGCATCAAATTTACATTCCTAGCTTACTAACAAATGTTGGATGGAAAAGACACAAAGACTTCCACATTCAGAGATTTGTTTCAAGTAAGAGAACTGTCTTCATCTTAAGGGCATAATTTAGGGAGATTGTTGTATTACTAGAAAAAAACTGGGCACCAGAAATGTTTGACAATCTATTGCAAATAATTCAGAGATCTACTTGTAGATTCTAATCTACTTTTTGCCTACCCCTGCTTTTAACTGGAATACAAGAGGGCATCTCACTGACCCCCTGTGGTAGGAAAAAAGAGCTGCTATCTAATCTGACTTTAAACTTGTATGGTCTGCTCCACAAAGAACTATTGATACAATTTTAACAGAAGTGAAGAAAAGTTGGTAAAATTATTCTGTATCTACATACTTGTAGAATAAGCTTTATTAAGTATAACTGGCCATTTCCCAATTACATGTTCTTTTGTTAAAGAAATATTGATGACATTTGGAAGAAACAACTTTTTAGAAACAGCCTTCAATTGGACATTTGTCACCTTTCTGTTTTGTTATCTCTTTGATAAAAATGGTCTTTGTTGATGAGTATTTAGGACTATGCCTGTTGTCCAATAAAATCATTCTATTAATCTTCCAACAAATTTGAATTCCTTTTCCCTCTTTTGGTGGTGGTTCTTTAAAACTATAAATTATTTCACAACAGATGTGAGGGAAAAATGTAATTTAAACTGGATTATGTGCCTTGGAATTTGGGAAGTAAAATTCTCAAATAGTAAAGGAGAGATTGCTTTTATAATAGGTTTTATAGTATGAAATAATAATAAATGCCATGAGCTTAATTCCATTGGCACAAACAAAGCTTACTTGCAGCTGAACATACCAAAATACATGTCCAGGACTAACCCTAAAGTAAAATGTGCCAAATTGACTAACAGCTGTTAGTGCTTGATCAATTGCCTTATAAATTTCATTGGAAAGACTGCTGTTATCTGTTTATGAGAAAGTCTTGTCAAAGCTGTAACCCTATGTGCATTTGTTAAAGAGTAAATGCTATAGTCCTTGTCTCTAAATGCATTGTATTTAAATACAGTACATTTAATGAGAGAGTCTCAATTACACCTAGGATTAGTCATTCTTACCAGATTTCCTTAGAATCAGGCTTCATCAATTGCAATGGGGCATATTCCTTGACAGTAAGATATAACTCTGTGTACGTGTTGAGATACAAACCTCCTTGAGTTCAGCAGGACTTACAAGCATATGACCTTGAGCTATAAGCTGGACCTATTCGGTATTTGGATAGAAGGCCACCGGGAAATCTCTGGGTTGTAGACTACATCAGGAATTAAAAAAAAATAAATCCTAGAAGTAAAGGCCCACCAATCCTGCATTAATGCTAAGAAAATATAGATGTGGCCGTGTCCTTAGGAGCTGGCCTCAACTAGAGAAAGATTTCCCTTTTATAAGACAGTTTAATTGGCTACTGGGTTCAATTGGAGTTACTTCCATTTGTCTCTGGAAAATCGTTTAAAGCATTCAATTGTAAATTTGAAGATGAGATGCTACCCTGAGAGTGGAATGAGATTTGCAGTATTTGTTCCTTTACCTCATGACAAGTTCATCAGGTATAACTTTTCCATGCCTGCATTAAGGAAACACTAAAGCGGTTTGATTCCTGCTGCCAGGCTGCAGATGTTATTCTGGCAGTGGTGTCATCATTTCTCTGTAAAAGTTTCCTCACCGAGTGATAAGTTAGCATGAACTTAAGAAGTAGATTCTGCCTCTTTCCTTTAAGGTTTTGGAAATAGGTCTACGGATTTATTGTATGTTCAAAAACACAGAGGACTCTTATTTCATGCAGGTTTTCCCTGCTAAATTTCTGCCTGTTGTGCAGTTGTTAAAAATAAGCAAGCAGGGACAGCTAAGAAATATTTTCAGACCATTGGAAATGCAGTGTTCCTAAGTAGCATGATGCAAATATTTAAAATTTTCTCCAAAGGAGTAGTTTACGATTGCATCTTTCTATAAAACTGGCTGAATTAATAGTGGGAATTGGCTGTATCCTATATTTAATGGTAGCCAGTTATACAAAAAGTTGTTAAACAAGGGGTTAACCAGGATGACTGTGAACTTTGTTGGGTGTCCCTAGTGCTGACACAAGCAAGCTGGAAAGCAAGTTGATTCTGACCATCTGTAGGAACAGGCAGTCGAAGGGCAGAACAAGCATAAAACCCAGCTGGGTGTGGCTTTGCTGCTCCTCAACAAGTGCCAACTAGCAAAACAAACAGCCTACCTGGAAAGGTAAAGCTCTAACTTTCAAGCGAACTTCTGTTGTGCAAGAGATTTTATAGTTCTAAAATTTCCATGTCACTCTGGACGGGAGCAGACTGCCCTGATTTAATCTCAGTGTTTTTAAACTCTCTTAACATTTCCAAGAACGTCTTCTCTTTCTACCCCCTTTTTAAGGCTGTCCAGTGATTCACCTTTTTTTAGCTGGTTTCCAAATAGCAGTACCCATGCTAAAATAAAGTCCTGGAGAAGTTCAGTGCAAATTAAAAGGAGGGATCCTTAAGATTCCAGCGAACATTTTTAAGCCAAGAAAAAGACTGCTTGAATTTCCCCAAATATAACAGATGCCGTCTGCCACTGCGCTTGGGGTCCCAGGACAAACGGACCATTTTGGAGGATGCTTGGTCCTGGATTTTGTTTTTTGGCATGACCTTCATATACCTTCATGGCTGGATTTGCATAACATATTGAGTCATAAACTAACCATGTCGGCCTATGTTCACAAAACATAGTTTGAAATAGAGTTGGCTAACTGCATCTCAGTGACTGGGTTTGAGACAGAGAAACAGCAATTAGCCAATCACATGTTAGTCCTGTCCAAATCCAGCCCATGTGCTTAGTTTATGGTTCCATGTGATGTGCATACCTAGGAAACTGGGTTATGACTCAGTTAACCGTGGGCAAACATACTGTGTGAACACAGCCCGTAAGTTGTGCAAACCAAGTTGATGTGCTTAGTTTGTGATTCAGTGAGTTGAACAAATTTATGTCAGTTTAGTTATCCATGGTTTAGCTTGTGTGAATATACCTTACATTGATGGATGGGAATGCAGTCAATAACAAATTTCCCCATATTTGAGTTCTAGCAATTGAAAAATATAACCAGACTGATTTCAGTTAATCACAGAACTGTTAATGTTACAGAAGCCCTCACGACTGTTGACAACTTTAGAAGAAATGTAAAAGTAAAAGTAGGAGTGTTATGTTTCTTTATTTTTAATGGACAGAAGCTCTCTAGATTGTATAGCTGCATAACAGAAATCAGCTGCAGAAGTGAGTGACACTTGAAAGACTAACACATTTTAGCATTTGTTTTTATGGACTAAAGTTCACTTTACCATGTGCAGGACATACTGTCCTATGTTACAGTTACTACATTTCACTTTTTTAAAAGGCAGCCCTCTGGAGCAGGGGCTCTTTGCTTATTATTTTTATTCCTGGCATTCTTTGCTGCTGTGTTTCAAGATTCCAGTTCCCCAGGAAGCAAATTTTAAAAAAACAACAGTAAAATGGCACTAGTCAAAAGGGGAAGATGCTAAATTCTACCTTCCCACAAACCCTCTCCCCCAGAGCCAAGACTCCACTGCTTTACAGAACGTCATTAGGGAGTTTTTACAGTTCTTACTTATCAGGTCAGGCTGTTCTAAGGAGAGGCGCCACCACTGAGAAGGCCCTACTATGGAATCCACGCATCACTGGGGATAGGACCATCAGCAAGGCCTCTCTCCCAGATGTCATGGGATCAGCAGATTCATTTTGGAGCAGGAGATCTTGAACATAACCAGGCCCTGAGTCCTACTGATGTAAAATGCTCATAGCATAACATTTACCTCTAGTGCCTGGTCCTCTAGCACTATGAATTCTTCATTAAATGAGTTAAGATTCTTCTGGCTGCTCCCACCACAGCTAAGTAAGCCTGAAATAGTTTTTCAAAATCCCAGGACTCTGCCACTAAATCAGCATTTGTTGTATGAAATCACAAACCTTTCCAAGCTAAATTGGTTTTAAATATAATTATTTCTCTGATTATAAAAAAGTTGAAAGCTTAATGAAAAGAAGAGATTAATTCATGGCTAGATCAAGCTAAGTTATGATGCAGTTAGTTTGGGGGATAGTGTGAACCCAGACATTTGGTTTATAAACCACAATTTATGGTTTAGCATAATATTGAATCCAGGCATTATGGCTTATTCAACCATTATGGTCTATTAAACAAACCATGGCTTCATAAAATAGATTCCAGTTCCCCAGGATGAAACATAAACCAAGGAGTGGGAGGATAGAAGACAAAGAATCAAATAAAATGGTAAAATGTAAAAAGAAGCTTGGTGGACTAGATTGAAGATCTGGCTCAGCCTTTCCCAGTCTGGCACCCTCTATACCAGTGTTTTTCAGCCTTGGGAACTTTAAAAAGTGTGGACTTCATCTCCCAGAATTCCCCAGAATGTAATTCAGGCTTGCCTCAATTACATTTTTTTAATTGAGGCAAGCCTGAATTAAAAATGTCTAAAAAGCTGGCTATTTCTTGAGAACAAAGCATGTTGTCAACAAATATATTTTTGTAATCAACAGTTTCCTGATAAATACTATCAACAGGCTGGGATCCAACAAGTATATTTTTTTCTGCTTCCAAACCAATCAACACACAAAAACTGGCCTGGAAAGATCAGATATGGGTTTCTATCTTCTCCAGTAACAGATTAGGTCCTCAGGGAGATCTGATTTATCTTTTGAGAACAGTCTGGCTAAAGGGAGTTTCTTTAATCATCCCCCACAACAAGAGAAGCTTTCTAGGGAGAGTATTTGTGCCCTGAAGGGAGTTTCTGCCAAACAGAAACAAATCCTCTCATTAACCCTACATACCTGGAAAATGGCTTCTCTTTGAGCCGTGAAGCCAAATGAATTCCAACAAGGGAAGTTACAGTGAAGGTCACACTATTACTTCTCTTGGGTAAAAGTGGCCAGTTTTAAGGACAAAAGAATCTATACTATTCCAGAACTTAATTGTGGGAAACATGCTTTTCAAAATCTCCCATGTTCAGTTTGTGACAATTCTCAGAAAGTGAGTGTTAGATGGGAGAGATGTAAAAAGTATCCCATCCATTTGTCCAAGAACTTGAAGGGTTATTCTGTTTTATTCTGTGATCAACCTTATGATATGATATACAACAAGTCCAATGTGCTTCAGGTCTGAGTCGGGTTTTGAATGGCCATCTCCAATATGACTCTGCTATACTGGATCTCTGCGCTGGGAGAATTATTGTCCACCAGAATGGACAAGTGCACTCAGTGCTGAGTTAGTATTAGCTCCCAGTTCCTTATTTGTGTGAAAGATCAAAACAAACCTCCGCTAATGAACTGAATACATAGATCTAGCACAGGGTAGAAATAAGACTCTTCAAATACAATACTCAGAAAACCTTGCTAACACAGTACAGTGCAGTG